GAAGAAAGAACAGTGCTCGTGTATTTACAAAACGTTCACAGAGGCATAGAAGGGAGGCTGGCGCTGCGCCCCATCCCTCTCCAGAGGTTAAAGGTTGATCCCAAAGTGAAGTGGCTGCTTTATCAGGATATCCTGCCTAGGACATCCTACTTCTGTGTCCAAAGCACACATCCAGTGCCGTATCCAGCCATCTCTGAGCCCTATTTTTAGGTCGGTGTTTACAGCAGGGCTGCTGGGGAAGGAGAGGTCGGTGGATGTCAGACCATGGTTAGGGTCAGACCCACACCTCGGGGTTCATAACACGTCCTTCCTCCGCTCATCAGCTTTTGGAGTACTTTTGCAGAAGATCACAACCTTCCTGGTGGTGAAAGGCTGATGGATTGACAAGCCTCAAGCCATTTCCTTCAACATACACTAATCAACCTCTCCATTCTTCTTTCAACTGCGTGCGTATTTTTGTTTAGCATTTCTGCTCTTCCGGCTCATTACCAATACTAAATATGCATTTTTATACTCTGCAATGTTATACTTTCAAAGGCAGAAGGCACAAAGGAATTTTTAAATAACTGTGAGACTTTATCTAAGGCCTCCAGATAAAGGTCGTCTTTGCCTTTAGCCTGGTATCCTGTGGGCAGAAAGCCAAACGTATATGATCCGCATCTCTTTAAGCGCTCAGCATTTAGAAATATCTGACAGGATGCACCTGAAGGATGTGTGAAAAACAGTGAGCCGTTCAGGAGGAGGAGGTCTTATTGACACAAAGCAACTCCTTCTGGTGCAGACACTTGCTACAGCACATGGTCCGTGGGGCTGGGAGAGTCCCTGGTGCCCTGCAGCACACAGTCCCTCTCGCCGCTGCACAGTGATCTCTACAGGGGCAGCATTTTTAGCAAGTTTTCATTTATTTTACAGCAAATAATTGTCGGTCACTCCCTACCTTTTCAGGCTAAACCCTTGTGTAATCCACAGACTCACCATTTTTGGTCAAAATGCACCAGTCGTAGCCCCGAAATCTGTTAAATGCGATGAAGGGTTTTCATACTTTTGGGTTGGCTCCTAGCTGTTATCCTGCATTTACAGGATATTTTGTTTTTTCTCAGTGCAGAGAGCTGGTAATTTCATTTAAGGAAAGCAAATGAAGCTGAAGTACTCGCAAGATCCTGCAGCTCAGAACCTGAGGCTGTGGAAAGGCATTAAATCCCATGGGGTTTCTTTCCAAATATGTTTGCTGTCAAGGCCGGGAGGGCCCTTTCTCAAGAAGAAGAGGAATTACCTCTGATACCAGTGAAGATGGGGTGGCTCTTCAGATCCATCCTTCACAGACCTGCACATCAGTACCCAGCCTCTCGATTCGGTTAACTTTTGCCTTTCTGTGGCATCTCTGTTGAAAGTCCGCTTTTTTGTGCCATCCAAGAAGGATGAAGATGTCGTCTTTTTATAACTGGTGAGTCTGGGCCAGCGGGACCAGCACAAGAGATAATCCAGGAGCAACATCATGAAATTATATTTCCTCTTGTCAAAATAACAAACATGTTTTATGGTCACAGGAAAGGGGGTGAATTACAGGAACCGGAGCTGGGCACATTGCGCCTTTGAGAGCATGAGAGCGCTGGCAGGCAAAGCCAGCACCCGCAGCCCCAGCTCTGGTCTCGGATCCAGCACCTCCCAGCCATGAAGGCAGCCGAAATGCTGTCCTCCTCGACAGCAACGCTGGATTTGTCTCTTCTTCTCTGGAGACGCAGTGCTGAGGTTTTGGAGGAGTTTAGCTAAAGGCTTTGAGTTTGTCATAGGGGTTTGTGTGATGGTCTTTGACTTTCTACGTGTTTCAGAAAATGATGCGTTATCCTTGATCTTTTTTACTTTGAATTGTTGCTCTCTAGGCTAGCTCACCGTCATGACCATCTTGGCTGACTTTCTGTCGTGGTTTAACGCCATTCGGCAACTAAGCACCACACAGCCGATTTAACTCCATCCCAGCCAAAACCAGTACGCTTTCCCACACCCCAGAAGAAACCATTAGACCGACTTGTCTAACCTCCTGCACATCAAAGTGATTTGACTTGAAAGGCTGAAAGTGTTGAGCATGTGACTTTCCCTCACAGGCTGGGGCTGCAGTGTGTCAAAAGGACAGTTTGGGGCGGTCTGAGGCGGTTCAGAGGGCGAGTGAGGCAGGAAGTTGGCAGGAGAGCATGAGCAGCCAAGGTGCTCGGCGATGACATCATGGTGACAGGGAGTGTTATCCCTCATGGAGCCACCAAATTTGTCGTTAAGGATGCGAGAGCCACCAGCACTCTTTGGAGGTTTGGATGCTGGAGCAGGTATTCCCATGCCGGGTCCGCATTAGAACTTTGTAGGGGACTATAGCGACCAATTTCTGCTTTACCTTAGTAGCAATCTTGTCGTCAGCAGTGTGAGTGCTTTTTTAAGCCATATAGATTTGGATCTGCAGAATGATTGTTGAATGAGATAGATGTAGTGAAATGGTTTCTGCAGTCCTGCCTGCATCTAAGGATGATAGCAGTCACTCCTCCCCGCCCGGTCACATACCACCCATAGCACAGCTATTCCCGCAGAGGACCTTTCTCTCCCCAAAAAACCTCTAACTTCAGTGTAAATGTTGTAGTTTAAAAAAAACCCAAAACCCAAACACCAGTCATATTAGAGTGGGGTGAAAAATTTTCTGTAGATGAGCAGCAATCTGTTTAAGAATAATAAAAGTTGATGCACTCCGTCACTTCAACTCTTTGATTCAAGGAGGAGCTGATCCCATTCAGTTTTCTAGGTGTAAGTGATAACTATGAAACCCAGCTTATGTTTGCAAAAATGCATTTATTTTTTAAGCATCAGTTTTTGGAAAGAAAAATGTAGGACAAGCTACATAGTTACCGTAACAGTGCCTGCAACGTGTTTGCACCTCATAAATGGAGAATTGCATGAAAAATAAATCACAGTAAACAGCTCCCAGTCACATTCTAGCTGATCAAAGTCCATAAAAATCCTCAAAACAACCATTGAACCCAAAGTCTCCCTCGCTGACAATATTATACAGTGTCTAGCTTATGAGAAAACTATAAATTGGAAAAAAAATCATTATGCATGCTTAACCATGTGCCTGAGCATCAACCTTTGCTCACATTTTTAAGGGGACTACTTGCAGTGTGTAAACATGTCCGCGTATCGTTGGCATAACGAACTGCCAGTTAAATCGGAGAAAACATTTCCACTGACTTCACTGGGCGATGGAGCGTTTCCCTACTCTGCAGCTTTCTTACCAGAAAACTATCGAAGCCTGCAATAATACTCTCTGTGAAAGTTACTTCCTTCAGATAGGCATATTTTGGTATTTTCACTTATCTACACATAAGATTAAGGTCATCGTACTGTAGCCCATAATCATCTTCTCACAAATGGGAGGAGCACTACAAGAGCTTATTGTATTTAGTCAGTGTGTTTTCACTGCCTTTTAGAGGGATTCCAGTGTAATGGTTATTTAAATCTGCCTACTGATTGTTTTTTCCCATTTTATTGTAAAACAGTCAAGTGGGAAAACATAATATACGGAAGAATTTTTGGCTAAGATGTAATTAAGTGGAACTGAGTAGTTAAATTTAAAATATCCTTAGCAAAGTGTCTCTGGTATTTCTTCTATTTTTGTAGCAAGATGTAAGATGCTGGCACTGGTGCTTACTGAGAATTGTACATGTGCCTTTTGGAAAAACACAGGTTTTCAAAGGCAATAAATCAGTGCCTGTGTTCAGCCAAAACAATCCCCAGGTATCGTGAGGACACCCTTGAAGTTACACGAAGTGGGTGAACTTGGCCAAAGAGCTGTCACTAATTTAAAGTGAGGGGTAAATGGCATCCTTCCTTGTCACTGCTTTTCGTAGCGGCTGAAGTTATACAACTGTAAACATTAAGATTACGAGAGGAGCTGGCGGAAAAAAATCACAATGAATAATTTTTTTAAGAAATTAGCCTATGCTCTATTAGTGAAATCACCTTGGCAGGGACAGCTCTCTTTAAAAAGTTGTGCCAATTGAACCCATTGCGCAGAGATCTCATGGGGCGGATCCATCGCAAGTACCTCTGGGCCCAAGAAGCCACATGCAGAAGACAGCGAGGACCTGAACGGTACCGCCAGCATCATCAAATCCCCCCGCACCGATGCTGAGTCCGGCTGCGCCCAGCCCGCGGCGTGCGGCTGGTGGTCCTGCCCCTTGGGGTCCCATGGCGAAGGCCATGTGCTGATGCCCCCAGGGGCAGCTCAGAGCGGGAGAAAGTCACTCGGACTTTCCAGGTCCCACTCTCTGGAGTGTTTGAGGAACCATTGGGAGAATTTGTCTTGCAGAGGGTCTTAGGCCAGCTGTAGGTGTGAGTTATGGGATGTGTCAGCAATTACGGAGCAAACTTAGAGCTGGGTGAGGAGGAATGTGGGGAAGGAGAAGCAGAGGTGAGTGTGGTGACCAGTGGGATGCATGCAAAGCCGGGGCTGCCGTGCTGAAGCAAGCTGCCAACCTTCACATGTCTGCAGCCCTGAGTGCGGAGAGCACAGCTGCCACTTATTGTTACTGGCCCTTTCCAGGTTCTCATGCGTGATGTGTGTTTTCAGCAGAGAAGACACTTCAGCGGATGTCAGTGTATGGATGTAGGATTGTCTTTGGCTTGATCACAGAGCCATAGAGTTGGGAAAATAGAAGAAAAACTCCTGGGATGTTTCCACCATTTCCTAGCATAAGCTTTGTTGCTCCCTCTTCTATATTTTCTAATCGAGCGAGGTCAGGCACGGTAGGTGTAGTCATGCCAGCTGAGCTGCTCAGCAGCCTCCAACACAGCAGTCTTACACAGAGTTTTATCTTCTATATATCAAAAGACTTCCACTGCTACAAAACTCCCCTGAATAAACTTGCAGGATCTTCCACAACAGAGTTGGTAGTCGAATATCACAGAACAGTCCCAGATTTCATATGAAATAGCCTAATTCTTTTCAGCTGGCTTTTTTGTCATTCCTTAATTGATGAGGCACTCTCTTTGCTCATGAGGCGACTCCTGATGACCATGCTGCTGTGCCTTGATATCTGGTCCTGAAACTCTGAAGTCATAAAGAAATACAGGATCGGATCCAAACAGCAGTCCAGACTCGCAAGACTTAAGCAAAAGGGTTGGGCGTAGAGCGCGATGGAACTCAGGAAGCAGTCTGTAATGACATTTTCTTTCACCAACATGTAGAAAAAGAAGTTGATGTGGTATGGTGCAAAACACACGCAGAACACAATGGCACACATGGAAACCATCCTTAAAGCTTTCCGCCTCTCACTGCTGTTTTGCAGCGGTATGTGGAAGTCCCGAAGAGAATCTTTTGTTTTCCAAGTACAGAATAAAATAGTGATGAGCGGGACGATGAATCCGAAGAGCTCCGCCGTGCCTGTCATCAGCACCGTGGCCACAATGCTGCTGATCTGCCGGACTTGAAGGTCTGCAAAGCAGGTACTGGTGCTATTGTCCAGGTTGTAGCTGCGCATCATGGGGAATGGCAGACACGCCACCCCAACGACGAACCACACCGCAGCGCTGATGGCTACGTCGTACCGCCGCTTCCAGTCCTTGGCTTTGAACGGCTGATACAGGAAGAAATACCTCTGAATGCTGATGCAGGTGAGGAAACAAATGCTGGCGTACATGTTGAGGTACTTCAGGTAGAAACACAGTAAGCAAAGGAATCTCCCAAAAGGCCACGTGGAGTTGATATAATAATATATTCGCAGTGGGAGCGAGAGGACGTGAGCCAGGTCGGCCATGGCCAGGTTGATCATGAAGATGACGGCTTTGCTCTTCTTGCTGATGAAGCGGCACAAGACCCACAGGGCAGCGCTGTTGGCCAGGAGGCCGGGGATGAATATGAGGGTGTACGTGGTTGCGTACAGGGTGTTTTTGAACGTTATATTGTGACTGGAGCAGGTCTGGTTGCTCTGCGTCATGACTGGGCTGCTGGAAACATCTGTCGTGGTGTAAGGCGAGTGGGTCATTCCTGTAGAGAACAAAAACAGGGGCTGTAAAGGCAAAGGCACTGCAAGAGCTGTCGATATTCACATTTGCATTTCCTACATGACTATTCAGTACAAAGAAGAGGTTTGGAAATGTCTTCTGTATAAAACATCCCGCTATCTTCTTCAAAGCTGCCCTTTCAGAGGTCTCCCACTATTCACTCAGAGATGGGGGACCACTCCTGTTGTGTCCCCTTGCTGGGCTGTCCGAGTGCCGTAAGCGTGGGTGAAGCTGTACTACACTGCTAACAGAGGAGCAGGAGAAGCTGCCTATCCTTTTGGGAGCTCAAGGTCATCTGCGGTTTGGTCTCTGGGTAGCAGGGAAGGAATACACAGAAGAAAGGTGTGCCATAGCCCAGCTTCTGCGTGTGAACAGCCACATGGCCCAGCCATCAAAACGTGGGTGCCAACCGCTGAATCATGCCTGCCGATAAGTTGTCCATTAGGCATTGTGTGGGTGGCATCTCTCCTGACCCCATCAGCGGACCTCACGGACCCACCTTCTCTGGCATGATGGGGACAGGCCATGTGGAAAAGGGTAGCAGGGAGTGGGCTTGAAAAGTTTGACTGTTGTAAAAGCAGTGGGTGCTGCCATGTACTTAAGCTAATGTAAGAAGCAGAGACCTAATCAGATCACCAACTTCCATTTCTTATCACCCCAGCAGCCTCAGTTTAACGCTTTTTTCCATCAGATAATTTTATTTTTAGATATTTCCAATTTCTGGCTTTCCTTTGATTCAGATAGGTAGGGATGGTGAAATGTCACATGTTGAACTGTTGGGCCATCTTTCTTTGGTCAGCTTTTGTAACTGGGACTTGCCTTCGGTAAGGCAACTCAGGCAGGAGGAGTTTGGCTTTATCAGGTATTTCCCCATAAGGTTATAATTCTCATTACAGCGATTGCCTCCTGTGTATAATATAACTGTTAAATTTGAATATCAGCTTCCTAATTCATGTGGCACTGCAGACACTGATTCATTCCTTCTGACTCATTTCCTGCACCGCTGGCAAGGGGCATTTGCCAGAAAAAGTGTCTCTGTAGGTAGCTATTAGTAACTCATACCCTCTTACTAATGTTTTTTTCCTTCATGTTACAAAAAAAGAGTAGCGTTTAGAGCTCTCAAGTGACAACACAAATAGCTACTTTTTTCAGCCTGTTGAGCGTTGCGGTACTTGGACTTGGCGGTTTGTACAGACACTGTTCGGGCCCCAGAAATGCCCAGATGTGGCGAGGTCCCAGCATGGGACACAAGCCACCCTCGCCGCGGGTGCAGTGGCTCTGGCTGATGCTGATTGCCACCCAACCACTGCTCCCGCGAGCTCCCTAAACAGATGCTGCTGCCAATTTCCTCGCTTTTCTTTTTAAACTCGTCTTTCATTTTCTCATGCTCTTCAAAAAGCAAGGTCTGCGTGTTTATCTCCTGCAGCACCCTCAGCTTTAGCAACTGGGCTACATCCTTCAGTTGCATCAAACTTCAAAGAAATGAGAAACCCTCTGTCTAAGGCCCCTCCTTCGCCAGGATGGCACGAGTGCACGGGGGCCGGGTGCCTCAGGGCACACCTCCCAGGCTGGTTTTGTCCCTCAGGGCAATCCCTCCAGTCTGCAGTTTGCTCCCAGTAACCCTCGCCCCAAGGCAGCTCTGGGACAAGATGCTCTGCTCCGTGGTGGGGTGTCCCCAGCTGCCCCCATCCTACGACACCGGAGCCTTGCTCCTATCACAAGGACAGAACATGCCCATGAGAAGGGAAGAGGGCTCAAAGGGTGCTGGTAAGGAGGGGAAAGATGCATCTGGCCCATGGGCTGATCGGCACCGGTCTGAGAAGCCACGCTGGAGGCCTCCCGCTCTGCTTTCTGGTGCTCCTCAGGACACTGAGACAGGGAGCAGACAGGGCATGGAGCTGAGCACCGGGGTGTTCACTCAGGGTGTTGCTTCTTCGAGCGATAAATTTGGGTTACATCCCTTTTCTTGAGAGTGCTGTGAATTTCTGGCTCTGGATGTTTGTGATCCTTTTCCGTCTGGTTCGCCTGCAGCTCTAGCTGGACATGCTGTCTGCTGCCCTTGTCTCCAACACCCAATTCCTGTCCCTTCAGGTGACCTCCCGCTCTGCCAAGAAGCCATTAAAGTGCCACTTTCAAAGTTACCAGCTGCCTGGTTTCCCTTGGATGTAAAGGTTAGGCTGAGTGGCCGGTGCTCCTCCAAAACAGGAGTGCTGGATGGCCATCGAAACCATGGAGGATTAGGTACATTTGCAAAATGTTCTATTTTAAGGGCACGCTTACATTTAAATGCTGACCAGTGCCCACATGTTCTTCAGTTCAAATGAGTCAGAACAGTCAGTTTGCTTATTGAGGTCCCCAGAAACAGTTAGCCCTCATTTACATTTCATGTGACAGCTAAGGACCAGACTGCAACGTCAGCAATCAGAATAATCAAGTTCAGGCTGCTGACTCAAACTGGCCTCCGAATGGAGCCATTTAGGGTAAACCGACGTGTCCAGGATGTGTCTGCTATAACATCGAGGGTGTAACACACGCCTGATACCAGAATTCAGCCTTCCCCTTCTGATTGCAGCGCGCTGTTCCCAGGCACGCAGGAGAGCACGGGGCTGCGCTGCAAGGGCTGCAGCGTGCCAGAGTCCATGGGGCAGCCCACTGCACACAGAGGGTTCCCCTCTCGGCCTTCATCTTCATCTGCTAATTGTCCACAAGGTGTCAGAGTTAATCAAGATTTCATTTCTTTGCCGTCCTCTTTTAGGCAGTTTTCTAACCCCTAAAGGACTAGGGCTGTCTGAGTGGCGGGAGGCAGAGGTGGCGGTGTGACTATGTTCTCATGAGTTCTCATGAGCTATCTTCCAGAATGACCCCAAATTGAACAATTCTAGTGTTGCTGAATAACTGATGTTAGGAAAAAACCTGCTCCCAGGAGCAGTCCTCACATTGCTGATATTTACAGGTAGGAGCGTCCTGAAAAGCTGCACTTTGGTGGAGACTAGGGAGCTGCTTTGAAACTTGGAACCCAAAGGGAATAAAACCCAACCTGCGGAAACGCAGGTGATGTCCCATCCCCACCACCCCGACCAAATGTCACACCGTGGTTGATGAAGAGGAGATGTATGGCCCGTGGAGTCAGAAAAAGCCCCTCCTTGGCATTTGGTGAACTCGGGGTCAGGCTTTTTATAATGAAGTGGACTGAACAGGCTGACCTGGCTGGCAGTGCAAAAGCATTAATACAATTAATATCTACATGGGTGATGTCTGCTGGCTCATCAGAACAGGGCGCTTTCTGAGAATGAATGCCTTCATTACAAAGTCATAAAAATATAATGAGATTAAACCATCTCTTTAGACAAAATGCACCCAGGCATATGCCCACAGGACTACAAAACGATTGTATTTCTGCCCTTCCTCCCACTTCTCTTGTTCAGATTGAAGTTTAACCCCCACTGTCCCCTTATCTCCCCACCTGTGCACAAAAGCAGACACACAGAGATGCCACTGAATGTCTGTCGGAAATTAGGTCTCCAAAGCTGTTAAGAAAGCAAAGGCATTTGCTGCGTGATGTGTGTACAGCAAAGGTAGAAGGCTGAAAAGCTCCATCAGATTTTATAGACGCTTGTTTACATATTGCAGGGAGATGGCTCCTACTAAAAGATTGTTTTCAGAATATGAAATTTAAAAAAAATGGCAGTAACTAAATACACTGTTATCTAACTGCGGGTTTTTACATTTTAAGTCGAGTCTGTATTTCTGAGGCTGTTGCAATAAGGACATAATTAAATTTGCATGTTACTACTCGTAGCTGGACATTTGGAAACTAAATGTGGCATTTCCAGGAAAAAAATGTTCATCTTGATAACTGAGAAGCACAGCAATGTCATTCCAGAGTCCTGGATCTTTCTGGCATGCCCATCAGCAGATGGGTGAATTGATTTGATTAAGACACCAATGCCTCTCCACTCTGCCCTCATCGCATGGCTGTGAACATCTCACACTGTTGCACTCGCACTTCTTATGAAACCTCTGCAGTCAGAAGTGGAAAGTTCTACAGTTAAGGGTACTTTTTCTGGTTTTCTTCTTACACACACACACACACAAAAAAAAAAAAAGGCAGATCTGGGTTGTCTGATGTGTTGTGATGAGCTGTTTTCATTTTGCAACACTAGTCTAATTCTCTCTTCTGCAGCTCTGGCAGCTGAAGAAGCAGGGCATGCACCGGCAGCAGGACGCTGGCAGCCTCGTTGCAGCACTTGCTCCAGGCTGGGCGAGGGCTGTCCTGCGGATGGACTTCCATCATGGATGCAATTCCTACGGCCGGTGATGTTCGCGCCGGAGCCCAGGTCCCAGCACTTTCGCTTGACACCAGAAAACGTGCTCTTGAGCAAAAATCACACTCTTCACACATCCTACTGCTCCAATCTGATGCTGAACTCCGCTCCTACATAAATCTGTGGCAAGCCAGATTTGACATACTGACTCACCTTTGGTGTGATTCCCTTTTGATTTACTTTGAATTCGCCCACTATGAATCCTGTTTATAATTGCTAAAGGGCATACGTGCTATATCACTGTGCTCCCGTCAGAGCTGAGCTGCGGTGCAAGTGAATGCAAACCCATCAGTAAACCACCTTTTACAAAGTACTGTTTAAAAGCTTCAGCCCATGAACTAAGTTAAGTTTTAATCCAGACCAGTGACTGCAGTCTGAATTATGAATTAAAACTGCCTGAGGATTCTCATTAACAAAACCAAGTCCAAGCAATCTTGCTATTTTTGTCATATTGTCGTCGTGTGTCCGTCCCCGTCCCCCCCCCCGGCTAATACTAATTTCCTAATGTTGCAACTCAAAGAGCACAAAGACAGGCAGCATGTAGGGGGGTTTTATGGTAATGTAAGTCACCGTTAGAAAAAACAGATTTGCAAGTTTCCCCTTACTGTCACGTATGATTGTACAATAAAAGATATTCCCTGAGAAATCAGGCGAAA